AGATATGTCATTTGAAGCACTTTGATGAACTTGGACGAACTACTTGGAAAAGTCGCCTTCCCAGAATAAAACAGCATATATTTAATGATTCTGTTTCAGGTCAAAGAAGTTACTGTTAAGAAAGTGTGACCAGATTTTCAAAATAAAAACCTTAGAGCAGTCGGTAATCATAACATTGTGAAACAAGAGCATTTTTTTTTTTTTTTTTTCATTCATCAAGTATAAAAAGACATCAGCTGTGTCACAGCATCAAACATACAAGAAATGAATGAAAAGGAGCAGAAAGAAGAGTCGTCTTCTGTTCTCTGCCCCTTTTCCAGACAACATTGATGTTTCTTCCAAACATTTCAAATCAGTACAGTTCATTTCAGTCACAATTATTAATCAATTGCAAACAGTGATCATCACTTTTATGCACAACAGTGTAGTTTTCTTTTTCATACATACACACTGCACTGGAGTTGATGTGTTTTTAAAAGTGATTATTACAGAGTCCTGCACCGGGTCAGATACCTGTGGGTACTTGATGGGTACAGGCAGATGGTTGCTGAAATGGGCAGGTTTTAGTATTTAAGTGGGTACCTATATGGGCAGGTAGTAATTACACGTGGGCGGGTCAGGACAAAATCAGGACTACACCAGGACTAATCTTAGAGACAACCCCGAGCCCGAGGAGCAGGGTGTCTGCAAAGTGTGATCAGGCGACAGCTGCACTTACCTCCATGCGGCGCAGAGCTCTGCACCGGTCCTTTCACCAACGGTCACCTGACGGTCTACGCAGGCACTCCTCTGATCCCCTCCCGACAGTGAGTCCTGGTTCAGTTCCGGTTTAGTCCTGATTTAGTCCTGTTTTAGTCCTAGTTCAGTCCTGGTTTAGTCCTCCTGTTTCAATCCTGGAATCAGTCTTGGATTAGTCCTGGTTTAGTCTTGGTTCAGTCTGTGGTGTGTGCGGAGCAAAAGTCCGGCATCTCGATCAGTGTTTCTTCTGCTCAGTAAATAAAGCCTGTGAAGTGAGGACAGTCAAGTCGCGTCTGTGAATTTGTGTTCATAATGAAGAAAGTGTAACCGTTTTATTTTATTTCGTAATTGTAATTCTTGAAGTTTTAACTTTTCAGTCTGTATTCTCATGGATGTTTCAGTTAGAATGCTTTTAATTTGAGTGTGATTTACCACGGGCACGGGCGGATAACGGGTGGAATGTTAACGGGTCCAGGTGGGTCTGGGTTTAACTTTGATATAATCACGGGATAACGGGCGTGTACTGCCTGGATGCGTGTGGGTCTCTAAAAATGGACCTGTGCAGGACTCTACATGATTGTACTTGATCCTTTGATTTCTTTGTCAAGACTGTTCCATAAATGAACTCCACTCACACCAATAACATGTTGGTTCCTTTAAATTAAGGAAAACTGTTCTGCACTTGGTCCATTAACGACTAACATGTAAGTTAGTAAGTATAGTCACATTTTCTTTGTGTTTTAGTCATTTTTAAGCAGCTTTTCTGTAGTTTACCAAAAGGAATGACAATGTATGTCTCTCTTTACTGCTGGCGATGATCAAATTGCTAAAAAATGGGGACACTTGGGACATTTCTTATATAAACCTGGGACAAATCAGTAGTTTTGTATAAATCTGCTGGGACAGGGGACACACGCTCAAAACTGGGACTGTCCTGGGTAAACAGGGACGTCTGGTCCTCTACATTTGACCCATCTCCAGATCTTGCACAAGTCTTGGTCAGGACCTTAGCTGAAGGATTTTACCTACTGTGCATGTTTTCAGTTGAACCAAATCTGGACAAACCAACTCTCCTCCATCATCTCCTCAGAACATCTGACCTTCCTCAGAACATCTCACTCTCCTCCATCCCTCTTTTTCAAACATCTCAGTCTCCTCCATCACCTCCTCTGAAGTTCTTGCTCTCCTCAGAACGTCTGACTCTCCTCCATCACCTCTATGGTGGTTGTCGATGTGGTCGTAGGTCAGTAGAGGTCTGGTTTCTTGGTTGTTGCTGAGGCAGTGAGGGGGACAGCAGTATGGTCTTTCTTTAGAACATTTCAGTCTCCTCCATCACTCTCCTTAGAACAACTGACTCTCTTCCATCATCTCTTCAAAACAGCCTGCTGTCCTCCATCATCTCTTCCTCACAACATGCCACTCTCCTTCACCTCCACAAAACAGTACAAGCTCCTCCATCATCTCCTCAGAACATTTCACTCTCCTCAGAACCTCTCCTCCATGATGAGTGTTGATGTGGCAGTAGGTTAACAGAGGTCTGGTTTCTTGGTTGTTCCCAAGACAGTGAGGTCTTTATTTAGAACATCTCAACATCCTCAGAACATCACACTCTCCTCCACCACCTCCTTAGAACAACACAAACTCCTCCACCACCTCCTCAGATCATTTCACTCTCTTCCACCTCCTCAGATCATCACAAACTTCTCTATCACCTCCTCAGATCATCTCACTCGCCTCCATCTCCTCAGAACATCACATACTCTTCCACCACCTCCTCAGATCATTTCACTCTCCACATGCTCCTCAGAACATCACAAACTCCTCCACCACCTCCTCAGAATATCACAAACTCTTTCATCACCTCCTCAGATCATCTCACTCTCCTCTGAACACCTCCCCCTCCTCCATGGCGATTATTGATGTGAAGGTAGGTCAGCAGAGGTCTTTATCCTGATTGTTCCTGGGGCAGTGAGGAGGAGGCGGAGGCGTAGGAGGAGGAGGAGGTGGAGGAGAACAGGAGTATCTTTCTTGAGGTCAGGACTGGAGCGCTGATGAGAGTCCCATGACCCTCTGACAGACACACACACTGTCTGTCTGACTCTGGAGCATTCCTCTCTTTCTCGCACAATCACACGCACCAACCTGAAAACACTCTCACAATGTCAACTGGAAACGGGGAATTCTCTCCTTTCAAACTGTAAATAAAAAGTCGGTCAAAATGTGTAAAAACATGTGACAGTGACGTAAACTCCTCACATTATTGAGCACAGTCCGTATCATCTGTCTGGAACTAAACTCCTAAAAACAGTCATAATCATTCACTGAAGTCATTTCTTTTTTATTTGTTGCTTGTCCTCAAACATTAAAAGTACACTGTGTACATTTAGTGGAGGGCTTGTCACCATGGAGATGTAACTGCTTATTACCTGGAATGTTCCACAAGATGGCATTAAAGACATCTCCCTTGTATTTACACAATTATGTTTGTATTGCTAAAAATATTCTGAAAAATGCAATCTTACTACATGTGGGATGGCTCGCCTCTCCACAGATCTGACCTGTAACTTGACCTGGTGTCATCCACTTGTCCACATGTGAGTAGATAAAGTTTAATTTGAAACTGTGGAACATTCCAGGCAAAAAAAAGAAAAACATGTTAGAAAAGTGCCATAGTTTACTTTAAATAATTACACTAATGTAAATTGCATTATATAAACTACATTATTCATTATTACTAAACTGAATAATGAATAATGCAGTTTATATTCTGTTTACTCGCTATTATCTATACATCTATCCATCCGTCTGTCTGTCCATCCATCTATCTATGTATCTATATCTATATCTATCTATACATCTATCTGTCCAAAAACTAATTCATATTTCCTTCTGTCCATACCTTGTCTTTTTTTTTCAGCGCCTTTGTACTGGATTATTTGTTCATACTTCTGCTTTCATATGAATCAATACCCAGCAACAGTCTTATCAAGTGGAAAAATGTCATTAAAATATTAATCTGCAGAAGTACACCTGCACTTAGTAAATGGTAATGAGCCTATTACATTTTTACATTATTAATTTGCCTATTAGCCTATTGTTTCCTTATGACCTCTTGTATAACTGTGATATACTGTATTTATATTACAGTATTTGTGTTTTACTTACTGTACATACATTTATATCATTTATGTCCAGTGTTGGGGAGTAATAGATTACATGTACCGGAGTTATGTAATCAGAGTACAAATTCTGAGTAACTGTATTCAGTTACAGTTACTGTTTCAGTGAGAGGTAATTGGATTACAGTTACTTTGTTGAAATAAATAGATTACACGGGCGGTATTTTCCTGTTTTCATATTTTGGGCCAAACCCCCCCCTTTTTTTTTTCAGTAATTCCACTCATTGCTGGAAACTAAACCAGGACTAAACCAAGACTAAACCAGGTCTAAAACAGGACTAAACAAGGACTAAACCAAGACTAAACCAGGTCTAAACTAGATCTAAACCAGGACTAAACCAGGTCTAAACCAGGTCTAAATCAGGACTAAACCAGGACTAAACCAGGACTTAAACAGGACTAAACCATGCTTCGTGGACGTGTCTCCTCGTCTTCTATCAATAATATTTTTAATACGGTTAAGTAAAGTCTGGGATTTTTTGTCTTTCTTTTAGCAGATAAAACATCTTATGTGAAGATATCCTGGTCTTTGCTTCTCTACAGCAAATCAAGTAATCCAAAGTATTCAGATTACGTTACTCACTTTAAATAACTTAATGGATTATGTTACAAACTACATTCTGGGGTATGTAATCTGTAATCTGTAGGGGAATACATTTTAAAAGTAACCTTCCCAACACCGTTTATGTCTTGATACCAGTCTCTTGCTATTTTTATTGCTACTTATTTAGAAATTTTATAACATATAATCTATATACATATATATATATATATATTTACAATCTGTTATTATATTATATTGTGAGCTACAGTGTCTAAGTCATTTCCCTTGTGGATCAATAAAGTTTGTCTAAGTCCAGAAAAATGCAGAATATTATTGGTAATCATTTATTAATAAACGAAAATGTAGTGTATTAAGGTATATTTATGATATCATAAATGTTTGCCAAGTTCAGCTCAAAGCTACTTTTAGATCCCTGCTTTTAGCTAAAGTAAGCCTACACTTCCTGTTTGTGCCGAAAACTACAAAATGAGGTAAGCGGTCCGTGCGTGACGTCATGACGCAAAAGGCGCTCACTTCTCTACACCTTTGTTTGTGTGTTAGCAAAAGTGTTGTAGGTGCTCAGGTCCGGCCCGCGGAGCTCGGCCCGGCCCGGAGAAGCACCTCACAGCGGGACAGAGCCGGTACCGAGAGCGGGCAGCCCCTCTCCGCTCCCCCCCGCTCTCCGCTCGCTCTCCTCCGGCTCTCCTCCGTGCGGATCTAGCCCACTACTGGCGGTGCGGTGAACCAGGTGCAGCCAGGGAAGGGGAGGTAAAGGGGAGGGCAGCGCAGGAGGGGGAGATGGGCTGCGAGAGGAGGTGACTCTCCGGCAGCATTTAGACACAGCGAAAGGATCATGGCGGATGGCCCCAGGTGTAAGCGGAGAAAGCAGGCGAACCCGCGGAGGAACAACGGTGAGTAAAACTACTTCGACGCTCCGCTTTTCTCCGGGGGAAGGCTCGCGGGGGCCGTGGGGTCGCCCGGCTCTCTCCGCGAGAACTTTGGCGGCCGGGAAGTGTGTTTTTAGTGAGTGGAAGTGCGGTGAAGTCGCGGCAGCCCCGTGTGGTGTACCGTTATACGCTTATACCTGGGTCCGTGCCTGTCCGCCTAGTGGTCCTCCGCGCACACGAGGGACCGTTAGCTCAGCGCGCCGCACCGTGACTCCCCGCGCCCGCTGTCCGGCTCCCCGCGCCCGCTTCACCACTTCCACACACTTTTCCATCATTTATTTACATTTTGGTCAGTTTGGGGGGGCTGCTTTGAAACTCGGACCTGTTTTTTTTGTTTCAGTGAATGAGCCTCGCTGCTTTGTGTTGTTATGGATAAAAGTGTTTGGCGTTTGGAATCTCACGCTGTTTTATCGCGCGTTTATGATTTAATCGTTTTGTTGATTGGACAGCAGCGCGTTTGTTTGTTCTTTACGCTGGGGCTAAAGGCTATTCTTGCGTGGACACTCGTGGCAGGTAGCTTTAACACTGTTGCTGCTCCGGGGACGCGCAGAGAAATATATTTTTGCGTAATTTTCACAAACGAAATCCTGTTTGGAAGAGGAATACGGCGAAAGGGACGCAAATATAAGCTCGGGTTCGTTCTGTTTTTACTGCTCCAAAGTTATTATCGCGTTTTGCCCGTGTGTCGCTCCGCACGCGTTGGGTTTAGGAGTGGGGTTTAGCGATAAAGCGAGGTCGGAAATCTGCGGATCAGGACAGAACGCCTGATAAAACACGGATGGGGCAAGTGAGGTTCCGGAGGACGAGGGAGCGCAGCCCGTATAAGGAGAGCGGATCCTGGCCAAGCGTGTGTGTGTGTGTGTGTGCCATGCCGGGGGGACTCCTCCTGCCTGCCTGCCTGCCTGTCTGCGGAGGAGCGGGGCCGGGGAGGACACGGCTCGGACGCTCGGTGGTGCATGCACGGACTCCCCTCTCTCTCTCTTCGCCGTCTTGTGTTTGTTAAGCACTCTTTCAATTCGCATCGCGTTCTGTGTGCTTGTTCCGCTTTCCTCTCTCTCCCCCTCTCCCTCTTTCTTTACCCAGCTCACACAGTCCCATATTTAGATTTTTTTGCTTGTTGCTCAGGAAATGCTCGCGTTGCCAGAGATGTTGTTTAGGAGTGTTGCTCAAAACAAGAATTCGTGGGAGGACTACGCGAACGGGCGGACTTTCTGTTACCGTGGCGCTGCGTAAATGTGCTTAGCCAACCTGACGGAGGGGTTTTTCGGTCGATAGCGCTGTTACCTCACCCCGTGCGCTGCGCTCCGGAGAATGCGAGGAGGACACACCTTAGATAACGGTTCTGCTGTCACGCTCCGAGCACTTTGACGGGGTTTCTTAGCGATTTGGTACTAATGGCCCGCTGGTATTGATATTTAAAGTGACTTCCCACGTCCTGACAGATGCGCGCTGCTCATTTGCATTCGGTTTTGGCGTGTTTAGGGTTACGTTTCCTCGCTTTTCACAGGGATCATGCAAATGCTGGGAGAAAGTGCTGTGGCTAGTTTGGGCTTTATTCTAAGATGTGGATTCAAACATGTGGATTAAAGCAGCTGAAATAAAGTGTTTTGTCGAAAGTTTTACTAAGTTTGTTGATGTTTTTGGACTATTTTGTGATTTGAAATTATGCTTTTTAACAAATATTCTTATTTTTAACTTAAGAAATGTACTTTTACTTTCTTTATCTGACTCTGCAGTACATATTTGAACTATTTATGGTCGTATATGCAACATTTTCAGCACTTTTCCAATTTAAAAGATATAATATGAAGTTTTAAATCGTTAATCACTATGGCAACGGTCCAAACTTCTCTTTATTTTGAAACCCAAGGATAACGCAGTAATATACCTGTATATACAATGTAGCTTAGCTTTGTTTTTAGTTTTATATTATGTAATAATTACAATTTAACACACTGGAATACTCAAACATCAGCTCATATTAAAGTTGGTATGTTCACTATGTGAGTACTAACATTTTGTAGTAGTAGGATTGTCAGAAATACAAAGGGTTGAATATTTCTAGACAGTATTAATGTATAGTAAGTCGTTATTCACATGTCAAACTTCAGCTCATACTAAAGTTGGCACGTCTACACTTATAGTCTTAAAATACTAATATTCTGGAGCAGTGGGAGGGTACAAAGAGTTAAATCATTCTTGGCTCGTATCAGTTTCCTTTAAGTCATCGTCCATATCAGTTTAATAATAAAGTATAATATTATCCGTCAAATCTTGTAATTGCTTTTAAAGTTGGTGTATGGTGCGGGGGCGGCGGGGTAAGCAGAGCCGGGCACTGGGCGCTCTCCATTCCACGCTGTAAACAGGGAGGTGTTAACAGCCCGCCGGACGACAGGTGTTTGCAATCGCTGGGATACTCTGGGACACTGCGCCCCCTCCCCCCCGCGCACCCCCCACGTACACCCCCCTGCTGCCCTCCCCTCCCCTCCGGCCCGCTCCCCCGCTCCTCCGCAGCAGCCATGGTAATCCAACACAGCAATTTGGGAATACAGGAATGCACGCCGCTTTAACATTCTGGGCCAAAATAAACAGCGCGAGGACAACTTTGGGTGTACCTGATGAGAACGAGTCACTTTAAACACTCACTATGTAACTTTTTAGCCAAAGAATAGAGCTTTTTTCCATTTTTGTTTTTGTTTTATTGCAGCAAAAAGCTTTGAAATACGCGCATCCTTGTTGTGAGCTGGCTTGCATCTCCACAAACCTGACTCTTACTTGGCCCGGCCTCTGACTGCTTAATAAATGTTGTTTCTTTTGCTATAATCCCCCACATTATGCCATTAAACTTATCTTTGTCCATGGAGAATGTTCAGGAGGATGGTTTCAACTGTGTTTCAGGAGACGTGCCACCTCCAGAAAGTTACACACTGTACCTTTAAGCAGGACTGAGTAATCGCAGTCGTATTGAAATCACTATTTAAATGGACACAATTAGTAAATCCCAAAGGCTGTTTTTAGATCTGTACTTAAACATGTTCTCAAATGTGACTCTTGTGTTAGTTTGTCAGTTCAGATTTCAGTCTTTTTGTGTGACACTTTGACAAAATCCCATCATTAAAACATAAATCACCATTTTAATCGCAATTCTTATCAAAAAAATTATATGAGATCAAATTTTTCATCCATATCTTTGAGTGCAGTCTTGAGTAATGGTGTGCAAAAATATCAATATATCGTATCGTTTAATGTGAGTACCGACATATCGCCAAGAGTATTTTTTGGTATATTTTACTGAATTAGTTTGTTACAGAGCTACAGTTTTGTTGTTTGTTCAGAGAAAGGAAACTTGTTCATGCATCACATTTGGCATTTTCACAGTTTTGTTGATTAAAATGTTTGTGTTTCATGTGAACTTTGCACAAGAAGTGGTTTCATAAAGACTTTTAGTATCACAGCCATGATTTAGACTTTATTTTTATTGAACTGTATCGAATCGATTTGAACTGAAAGTGCGTTGTATCGAGATATGGATATCGTGGCCTATGTATCGTATCGGCAACTCCTTAATAATACCAGCCTTACTCCCATGTGGAGATTGGGTGCGGGTCTGGCACTCGGCGCAGTCACCGTGTTAAAGAGCATGTTTATAGACCTGGTAAAAGTGGAGTGATTGAAGTGAACAGAGTCATCCACGCTGGAAACAGTGAAGCGCCTCTGCTACATGCTGAGCTTTAATGTGAGACATTAAACTGTTAACAAAGTCACGGTTTGTGACTACTCCTCCTGAATATCCCTCTGCATTTAAACTGGACAAAGACTGTGTAACGCAGTGATGTTCTCAACTTTGACAGAAACAACTTTGATTTGTCAAAACATCCACGCAAAGAGATGAAACCATACCTCGAGTCAAACAAACATTACAGTATTTGATAAAGGATTTCTACACTAATGTCTGTGTCTAATACTGAAACTTTATCATTTACTAAACTAATTTAAAACAATTTACACTGACATCAAGAAAAGCTACAAATTTTTTTCCCCATTTTTCAGTTTTTGTTACTCCTTTTGTTTACTTTTTGACACGTTAACTTAAGTAAAAATATACGTTCTAGTAGAGGTGGTCCAATAAGGATTTTTTAGGCCGATTATCGATACGATGATCTACATTTTTGATCGTCCGATACTGATTACATCCGCCACGTCAATACGATCACATGGACTTTAATTATTAGTTGAAAAAAGTGACTTTTGATGATTTGTCTGACCAAAATCTAACTAGTTACATCATCAACAGGATTTTGCTGATTATTTAAGCGAAAAATTAGCCACTAGTTGCACATCAGTTACCATTACCATCAATTAATGAATTAGAATTATTACGTGCATGACCGGTATGTCTGACTGTCCCAATTTGCAGATCTTAATCACATTATTTTTGTTGAACAGACTACCAAGAACAAACTGGGCTTTCAGTTTTTTTAATCAAACTGTTACAAAATCCTTTCAAAGCCTTTGTCACATAAGACTTGGAAAACACAGTGGATGAAGAACTTTGTGTTGTTGTCTTGTATTTATTTCTTGAGATTAGATCATATCCGATACTTCTTACACAACTGAACCGTAAAACAAGATGACACAGTTTCAAATAGATCTTTTATACCAGACTAACTCCAGTGACTGATGTGTGGAGTTTGTTTTGCGAGTCCTCTGAGCTCTCGTCCCGACAGCAGAGTGGTCCCCGTCGCGTAGCGGGCGTGCACCATGACAAACGGCGCGGTGACACATACATGGACCTCTGCGGTGTTGTGCTGTAGCGGGAGCCCGGGCGGAGGCGGGGACATGCCAGGGCGCTGCTTTAAAACCATCTGTTTACATTTAAATGCCGGGCCTGTTGTGAGGAGCCGCAGAGGAAACTTTTCATTTATCTCAACAACAGCTTTTCACCAAACCCCCAGTCAAGTGCC